CACAGTTGTTTAATAATGAACTGCTTGCAAGTAAACTGCGCGGTCTATTATCGATGTTTATCACTGAACTATCCATTGTGCACACTGTAACAAAAACCAGATCTTTTTTATCTATGCATTGCAAAGTGTATATTATAATCTAAGAGAATTGAACATAATGGGGTCAAATTAAAGCTCTTATCAACACACTAACAACTTTTAAATATGGCAATAGCATTTACAATTATAATCTTGAGGGTGTGGGTATGTGGCTGTGAGCTGTGAATGTAGATGTGAGTGGTTGAATGTGGATGTCGGGCGCTGGGTGTGGGTATAGGCAAAGACAGTACCCATGTCCAAACGCTCACTGCACACCCACACCTTTACATGGGCGTCATGAGTTTTGTTATTTTACTATATGTATGACCCGTCTTTCAAGAAATAAATGAATGGATGACAAGAAGCAGATGGTTTAGAAAAAAAATCACTCTGTATCCTAGTTTACATATAAAAGAACAACCATCGATATGATAAAAGAAATATTCTATATAGAAAAGAAGAACAAAAGTAAAACGAATTCTATTATTCTAGTTTTCTCCATAAAAATCCCAACAGATATTAATGAAGCAAATCACAAACAGCAAACCTACATAATCTAATTCAACGTCATTCTTCACACGAAATGCTCGTCAAATACCTGCTCGATATAAAATGAGAAAAACAAAATAATTTATACTGATTTTGTCTTAAGGTCCAGGAAAACTATCGTTAAAATTAAGAAAGCAAAACAGAATCAACTTGTTAGGACCTGACCCCTATTGTTATTTTATTGTTGTTATTGTTTGTCCACTCATTATATAACACGTCCTCCTTTTCTATTTTTTTCTTTTTTTGTTTTGTTATTTCTCTCTCTCTATTATTATTATATAGAATAAACATTCGGTCAGATATTGTACGTAAATCGAACTCACTGACCTTTATATCTTCTCTTTTATTTTGGTGCGGTATCTTACACAACTCATCCGGTTCATTTAAATATGATAATTGACAATTCCCGGCATAACTAAACGAAAAGAATTCTATGAAATTCAGTTATCTGATTTTAATTCGTTGAGAAAATATGTAAGAACAAACAGAGTAACTAAATGAAGAAGAAAAGTAGGAATGATTTTCTAATGAAATTTATATTATAAAAAGCGTAAGAATTTGAGGAATCAATGAGTAAAGATAACGAAAACAAATCTACCTTTTCTGTTTCACTCGCAAAAAAGCACAAAATACGAACATGGTTATGCGAAGAAAAGCACATGAGGGTGTGGATGTGTGTGGGTGTGGATGTGGGTGAGTGTGTAGGTGGTGTTGACACTGTTTAACCATACCCACACCCTTTTCACTCTTAAAACTTCGAAAATTTGTGATTTGAAGTGTTTTTGCTGTCACTCCCTGATATTTGAGCGTGTGGGAGATATCTTCACTTCTTCATTCGCCTCAGGAATTGTAAGATGAAGTGAGTCTATTCTTTTGTTTCTCTCATACATTTCTTTGTAGTTTGGAGGCTTTCGCATTGATCAAGAAACCAGAATGTGACTTTATCTACATTAGGTACGTTAATGCTGAATTAAGAAACGTGGTCGATCGAAAATTTAATTCAGATTTAATGCATCAATCGGGGAAGAAGTTGATCCACAAATAAAAATGATAAATGTGCCTCAAGAAAGTGGCATCATATCATTGATAGATATTTTCAATACGATGAACTATAGAGTATTAGTGAATAGGAACTGAAACATAAGAATAAGTAAAGCTACAACATTTAACGAACCAATAGTTGAAAGAAATAAGTTGGAATGATAGATATTTTGTTAACAAATTTCATCAGTCACTCATGTTAGTTATCAAAGAGAGTGAAGCGACATTTTGTGTCATTAATACGCGCTAGAATTATGCGTTTCGACTGTATTGTAGTGGCCGATTGTTAGTTCTGATTGATACATTAACCTCGCAAGTATAGACGCATATAGATTGAATTTGAAATTAATACTAAATTATTCCTGTAGTGTAGATAAGATCTATAGCGCCTTCACTTTAACGCTTGTATTATTCAACAGATATCTCGTGCTTCTATTATGACACATTCGTCTGTGGCGAGAGATATTGATCGTCTCTTTCGTAGATCGTACTGTGAGTCATTACCCCTGCCTGTTTTAAGCATTAATTTGCGGTACGAATCGTTTTCTCTGCCGACGCTGAAGTTATTGTGGTGCAATTCTGAGCTTTGTTCCTGACGCTGACACATTGTTGTCAGATCTATTTCTTTTCGCCCTCAATCTGCTACTATGATATGTTGCTTGGAAGCATTTACTCAGATCCTTTAACATGGCTTTATAACCATTTTGTGCTCCTCAATTTTGGCACCTTGTTGTGATGTCTGAAGCTCTCTGTTCTCACTCTTAAGCATTGTTATGTGGTCAGAAGCTTTTCATTCGCATTCGTACGTTTTTTATTAGAAGGTTATCGCCCTAGTGTTTACTTTATGCTGTATAACCAGAATCCTGCTTCGGTCACGCCGAGACACAGTTTTGTGGTTCGTATTTTTTCCCACATTGTGACGCAATCATGTGTGAAAACAAGATATTCGCTCACAGTCGTGGTCATAATTTGGCAGTACCATTAGACTATGTTTATGCCTTTATTCATGAAATTCCCAATCACACTATTGTAATAACTCAATTCTAGCCTCTGTACGGATGGAAGGTGATGAATAGAATGAACTAAAAAAAATCAAACTAATCATGTAAAACAGAGGCAGCGTCGTTTTTTTCTTTTCTTCTTTCTCTTTAACATAACCTTCGATTTACTCGGTATTGTCTTTCGCCTTCTATTCATTATTGTTTTTTTTCTGCATTTCTCTTTATTATTGGTGAAACCGCAATACAGTTCTCGTGTCCCTTTAGGACCGACATGATCATAGGGCTAAATAACGCTTAATAAAAAAAAGAGGCAGCATCGTAGAAGGGAAACCGATAAAATCATTAAAACTATGTAGGGTGAATGCAACAATGTAAATTCACTAAGCTATTGATAAAAAACAATAATCAATCGATCGAATGAACGGAAGTCGGTAATGAATATCAATTTCATATCTTCAGAAATTCTTTCTAATCAGTACTTCAATCATATATTAACTCTATTTATGATGCTTAATAAACTCTTTCTAGTCTTAGAACTCATCGCAATAAGTTACTCATCAAAATGAAGTAATCAAAACCAACTATACCGAGTAAATTTCAGTGATGATTGATTTCAACTTCTTTGAGTGTTGTGTATGTCAGATAGGTCTATTTTTTTTGTCGAATAATACGTTTTTTACTTTTGCATCGTGGCAGAATTTTATGCTTCACTTCTGTCTCTTTTGCCTGGTTTTTTTTTCGTTTTTCTTGGATTCTTTTCAACTACACAGTCTATTGGCTGAGACTGCACATAGTAACAATAAGCAATTCAAAGTTAAGAACACAGAACGATTGATTATAAGTAAGAAAAAAACTTCATATTTGCACAAAGAAATTGAGTTCGCAGCTACCATAAACATCTATGTTTATTATTCTATGATATATAAGCGTTAGCATCGTTCAGAAATATACAATGATTAACAGACACAAACTTTATTAGGTACCTATGAGCAGATCTGATTATAGAGCGTTAGCAGAACATGATTTTTTTTTAAAATTAGCTTTGCATTTTATTTCATTCCTAAATATATGAGACTAGCATCATTATGAACATTAGAAAACTTTCCTGTAAGCTTATGAAAAAATGATAATTTTCAATAGAATTACTATTGTTCAAATTAAATTCAATATTTTACAAGTTCTAACATATTCATTTTATTTCTTCAATAAAAAAAAGCACAAAAAGATCTGTTTTTTTTGTGTTTATTTGAGCTTGCAATTCAAAATTTATTTACATTATTAAATAAAAGAATATTTTCAAAAAAAAAATTGTTTATTCACTGCTTAATGCATGCAAGACCAAACTAATCTTTTAAGATAGTCTAATATGAATAGAAAAATTAAAATCGAGAGAATACTATTCTGAATATCAGTTACAATAATTAAGATCTTATTTAAAAAGTTCTGTCAGTTAGGGTGTGGGTGGGTGTGGGTGTGGGTGTGGGTGGGTGTGAATGTGAGTGGGTGTGGGTGGGTGTGAGTGTGAGTGGGTGTGGGTGTGGGTGTGGGTGTGGGTGGGTGTGGGCCTCGATAAAGAGAAAAAGAACAACCACACACCCACACCCACACCCACCCACCCACGCCCACACCCACCCACCCACACCCACTCACCCACACCCACACCCACTCACCCACACCCACACCCACTCACCCACACCCACACCCACTCACACCCACACCCTCGTTTGAATTAAAAATCGAAAGTTCTAAGAGTTTATTCATCCTTTTACCATGAGTCTTCTCTAGAAGAAAACAGCTAGGCTCATCATCGTCGCATGTTTTTGTAGTGTTTGATCTCTGAAGCCAGATTATTTACATTTGCTTTTCTTCACTGACACTCAACTGGCCATCTTGAATGTAATCTTAGATCATGTTTTATCTGTAATCAACAATTTATATAAGACATGTGTTGATCCGACAAAGGTAATGCGCGCAGTCATTGTATTGACACTTCAAATGCAAAGCCGTTTCTTCCTACCTTCTCCATCTGTCAGTTGATTGAAACCTGTTAAATGAAATGAAAGTAAACATAGCAATCATTTTCACTTCTTCGATGAAAGGACGAAAATTGCTTTCTCTTTTTTATTGCAGCTCTGTACGGTAATGTAATGTTGCCATACCAAATAGAAAATAAAACAATTCAGTTTTACATAAGATGTTTGTCTTTCTTCTGTAGAATGTTCATGATTTTACTCAAACCCACACCCACATCCGCACCATACACCAGACAACCATACCATCATTATTGAATAAATAAATTCTACATATATAAAAAAAAGTCTTTTTTATTATTCATACTAATGGTAAATTATCTAAAGGACATTGAATGGAAAATTCTTTTAAATATTTTTCAATGCAATGCAAATGAAATATATGTGTACACGGTAGCGATTTAAGCTGTTGTCCAAGATCATATGATTCCATACAAATAGTACAAAGATCATTCAAATGAGTTTCATTAACATCAATTGTTAATAATGTATCTAAAATGCTTTCATCAACTGTTTTACATTTTATACGTTCATCGAGTCTCAATAATATTTCGTAATCATTTGGAGACCTAAATAAAAATAAGTAAATAAATTTAAACAAAAAGCCAATCAATAATACTTACAGATCACGATTTTGCATTTCGAGAAGGATATCTATCATATCACCATCAAAATCTGATTGATTACGAACACTATATACATTAATGATATAATCTTGAAATTGATTATTATGATGATTATATCTAGTCGAGTGAAAATCTGTATGTGAAGACAAAACATTTGATGAATATGAACTTTCATAACACTCAGTTGATGAGTCAAGTAAAGCAAATTTATCTAATCGAAAACGCATATACCATTGTTTATTACATGCTTTAATTTCAATTGATTTAGCATGTTTTGTTTTAATCTGACGTCGAATATGCTTCCTTCTATTTGACCGTTTTGGACGACGATAAGTTTCTTTTTCATAAAAATCAGCTAAGTTTAATTGTTTTTGAGTAAGACGTTTATTAATATATATATCACCATTCTTTTCATCATCAAAATACTCTGCATTGTTATCACTATCATCTAAATTATTTTCTTCATCCAATGAGTTTTGTTCAGAGCTTAATGAAATAGAAAAAAAAAAGAAAATTGAAAAATTAAATGATAGATAACAAAAATAATTTACTTTGAATTTTCTATTGAAGCTGTCAATACTGAAGATGATACAATAAAATAATGATCAAGATCAGTTTCTTGGTATGAATTCACATCTTCTTTGATTGATATAAACCTTGCACAATCGACTACGTTCATTCATGAATCAAAAGGAATCAATTCTGGATTTTTATATACCTCCGCAAGTTGGAAATAACACAGATGACCCATTTATGATAGGAAGGACACAATTTTCAAAGGTAATGATGACGCATTGCTACATCATTTCAATGTAATAAAATAACATGAGTCATAAGTGAATCAGAGGGTTTCACCGAAAACAACACATACGTAAGCTTGCATAGATAAGAATACCTATGTAATGCACATGACACAGTTGACTTGTAAATTTAGTTGAGTTTCGAGTAAGCCCGATAAAAAACAATATAAATGAGAGAGAAAAATAATTTAAAGAATGATTAAGGGTAGTTTTCATAAGATAATTTTAAAAAATCAGGTATAAAGATTATACTTTAATATAAAAATGCATAGTGTCATTGTTGAATATAATATCTCAATGTTTTCTCGACAGAAAACATTTCTTGTGTTTATTTTTCTCAGTTTCTTCAGTGTAACATTAAAATCTTCTTATTAAAAGTAAATATATGATATTTGATAGAGGAATTGCAACGCATTTTATACAATATTTAGTAAAAGTTAAGTGCTCTAATGAAGGGTTTTCACAATAAAAAACAGCCTCGTACCAGGGATGGCAACTGTACCACATTTTGACTTTGAAGCCTTCTGTGCAATTAACTAATTTTACATCGGAAAAAAAAGTTTTCCATTTGAATTTTGTCATCTTTATACAGATATCTATAACAAAACTTATTGGAGAGGGTGGGATGATGTGGGTGTGGGTGTAAGTATGGTGTGTGGGTGCGGTGTGTGGGTGTGGGTGTGTGAATGTGGATTAAGAAAAGAAAAAACACCCACACCCTACCTTTAGTGTGCGGGTTTGTCTTTCTATTTATAATCCAAACCCATATCCTGATTCACATGAAAACGAATAAAGTGAATCATATGTGAATAAACAGTTCTCATTTATGTGCTCTTTCTGTTATTTTACGCTGTGCTCCAATCTGTATCCATAATGAAAATTTCAACTGAATCTCAAAAGCATAAGTCTCAGTAGTCTAATGGTGAGGACACACGACTGAAGATCGTGTCATCCAAGTTCGATTCTTGGCTGAGGCATGTAAAAATTATTTTTATGCTTTTTGTAATATTACAAAAATTTTACGCAATAACACTTGTACGTCCTCATATGTTTCATAGAAATTACACAACGCAACGACTTTGCTTATAGAAGTTTGGCAGAGAGAAGAATAGAAGTGAAAATATATATTGCTTGTTTCAAGTACATCCTTATACTGGGAACACATTGTACATAAATAATTACAGTGGAAAAGAATTAACTGTTCTCTCACTGTTATGAAAAGACAATAACAAAGATTTGAACATCTTTATCGAACAACCATCAAGTTATATCGAAATAGACAGATGAACAATATAAGACTACTCTCATTGATTAAATTAAAGCAGAAAAATTCTTTGAGAATTTTCAGTTCGAATTATTCATATGTATTCAACTCGTCAGATCCTTATCGTTAGAAATCCATACTATTGTTATCATTCTTTTATAAAACAATTCTTTATTAAAAATATTGATCTCTTTTGTTTGATGTCATTTAATTGGTTATTGTTTCCTTCGATTCTGTCTAGAATAAATCGATAATAATGCCTTTTGATGTGAATAGAAATTTTTCACCGTAGATATGTCAAAATGAAATCTGAAAAGTAATGATCAAAATGATTTCATGATGCAATAACCAATAAAACTTTCAACTCTATCATGCTAAAGAAGTGAATACTATTTTGAATCTATTGTCATTAAAAATGAACTCAATCGCGAAGAGAGATTCCAAACAATGGAATCAATTCTAAATTGAAGACATTAGCCAACAGTTGTTTTGTCTTCATTCAAATGAACAAAAAATGAAACAATGACGATTCCAAACGAAAAATTCTCATCAAATCAATGATTTGTCTAATTAATTCATCTTATAATATATTTGATCTGATTATTATTTTGTCAAATAGAATTTAATCTTCTATTGATCAAAAAAAAATTGTTTGTTTATTCTATAGAAAATGTCTTCATAAGAAAACAACTTAATCAAAAAGAATATAATGAAAAGAAAATTCTGTCGATATCATTCAGTGTGCAAACTGAGAACATGGATTATCGATGAGAAAAGAATTAATAGACGAGGGTGATTAAGATTTAGATCATTCTATGATATATATTTGAACACACAGCAAACGTGTCATGATTGTTGATCTAGCTTATTAAAAATTTCTTGAAAAATAATTTTAGCCATAAGATCATATCCATCTGGTTTTAAATAAACAAAATCATCCCAAATAATATCTCTTTGTTTAATATCATTCATAGAATGATAATTGATATGTTTATCAATATCAATAAGACATGTTCGATTTCGATCATGATAATTTTTAACATAATTTTCTAATCATATCATTTAAAATTTTCCTTTGTTTATCGTAAGCACTATCTGACTTATAAAAACCTTTTTCAATAATAGTCATAACTGATAATTGGCTCCGTACTAATTGCGGACACTTTTCACACCAATTAGTGAAAAATGGCCGCATTTTGGAATGATTGGATATAGGTTATCTAATTTTTATTGCGTTTCCAAAAAGCGGACACTTTTTTAGTTAATTAGTTATTGCCAAATAAGATTATGAGATATGTATAATTGATGAACTTATAAAACGATGAGAAATAACAGAACATTTCATTTGATACAATGACTACAAATTTTACTTTCTCAACAACCCAAAAGGGTGAAAAAGCAATATTGTATAATAATTACTTATATCGAATGAAACGTGAAAGTCAAAAGGGTATATCTTTATATGTTTGTACAAATAAATCTTGTACTCGAAGTGTTACTTTACAAAATGATACAATAATAAAATGTAACGGTATAACTCATGATCATGATTCAAAACTATATGATAATGTACAAGTTGTATGAGGAGTAATTGTTTTGCTATGTTTTTTTTTGTATATATATAGTATTTCTTTGAATAAATTATTCTTTACAGATACAATTGAATGAATCAAGCTGTCTTATAATGCCTATTGATTATTTCTTAATGAAAAAAGTGTCCGCTTTTTGGAAACACGATAAAAATGAGATAGCTCATATTCAATCATTCCAAAATGCGGCCATTTTTCACTAATTGGTGTGAAAAGTGTCCGCAATTAAGAAGGTACGAATCCAATCATAATGAAAAGCGTGTGGCTGTGGCTGTAGGTGTGCGTATTATTGTGGAGAGTAGATACTCAATCGCTCGCCGACACCCACACCCCTGGTAAATTTAAGAAATCTAACGTTTCGACAATTGAATCAATTGGACAAATTTGATTGAATCGAACAAATGTTCATCACTCTACAGAAAAGGATAAGGCATCATTAATTAATTTTACATTCGATGCAATCATTCTGATGTGTCCTGTCAATCAGCAATTCAATTTACCATGTTGTTTGAAGTTTCGTTACACCGAAGATATAATCTGATTGACAATGTTAGTGACCGATAATAGTTTATATTAATTCATTGTTTTAATGCCAAGGTGAATGAAAAACTATTAGATAGCGCCCAGAGACAATGAATTCGTTTTGATCAATTATGAATATCATAGGAAAAAACCGAACTCGAACTGTGGGTATCAGTTGGGAATATTCTCTCTTGAGGTAATCGTGTTCTCGAAAAAGAATTTATATGATAGTAAAAAGAACAGACGTTCGCTTTTAAATGTAAGAAACATGAAACTACAAAGATAAAGCCAAAACATGAGCAAAAGAATTGAAGATAATAAATATGGAACAAAACCAGGGGTATCGTTATGTAAGTCGGTAGAGAAATAAAATATAGATGAAACAAAATGACAAAAATGGATATAGATAAGAAGATCAAAAATCAAGAGCTCAAGGGAAAAAAATGCATAGTAGTTGATAAATAAAATAAAGCACAAAAAAGGTATTCTTCGAACTGAAAAGTTAAGAAAAGTTGAAAAACATCGGAAAATAAAGTATCAAATATACGAAATATCGAAATGCAAAAATGTTAAAAAGAAAAATATCAAAAATGTTTGACGAAGAATGAAACTAATTCAGAATATTCAATTCCTCATCAGAGGTCGAATCGAACCGAGTTTTTCTAGATCGAGTTCGGTTCGGTTCGGATGGATTTTTCAAAAACCAGTTCGGGTTCGGTTTGACTCGAGTAGTATTACTGCCATTTAATCAAGACTAGACAAAAAGTCAAAACTTAGTTTTCAGACGATCAAAATCGTCACTGAGGGTGTGGGTGTGGGTTTGGAGGTGAGAGTGGGTGAGGTGTGGAGTATAGGTGTGATTATAGATAGCATACAAACCACACCCTCACACCCACACGCACCCAACAGCCAAATCCACACTCACACTGACACCCACACCCATACCCTCTCATTAATCAATAATTTTAAAACATCTTTTCCTAAATTAATGTGTCTTTCTCTTTGATATGACAATGAAGCTAATCTTCATTTTATGAATGCTATTGTCATGAAAAGAAAGAGTTCAATCGAACGACTTAAAGTGCATTGTCTCACATTGGATTGTTCTTATTCAGAAGTATATACCGATCATATGTTATTCCACATGAAACTTTCATTTAAATATTTTCTTCTTGATATAGGCAGCTGTCCGTTCTCTTCAATTAGGAGTTGCTTATGACACTACCAGTTATGCCCTTTGATAATAACAATTAATTTTATCAATCAATACAACGTGGATAAATTATTAGATTTAAATGAGTGGAAAAAGTTAGCATATACATGTGTTATTTTAAGGACAATAACTTTGAATGTACTAGAATGTATGGAACAAGATGAAGAATTAGCGAAAAAAGCAGTAGAAATTCACGATGCACTATATTCGAAAATTGAAAAGCGTAAAACTGATGGTGTAGGTATTCGTTTTATCTAAATTCACACTTATACCTAAAACGAAAACAGCTTG